TGGTCTCATTTGATTGGGCAAAGCTCTTTCACTTGTCACTTAATGCCAATTAGGGTAGAGTTGTATTAAAGGACCTTTGGGATTCCCTTTGATAGATTATTCAAACATTTTTGAATCATCTATTTGGTTTGTCCTTCAAACAAAATAGATTTCACACCAACAGTTCATTGTGTTTGCCAGGTGGCTGACCCAGTTGTCACATTTTGTGAGACAGTGGTGGAAACGTCCTCTCTCAAGTGCTTTGCTGAAACTCCCAATAAGAAGTAAGCTGAGTTGTCACTGCGTACCTGGGTTGACGGACTGACAGCCTCAGGGAACCTGCTCTCCCCAGCGCCACCCCAACCACAAGCACTGTCAGAGTAGAGGCAGGCTTAGGTCTCTGAGTCTTGAGATGGGGAGGGGCACGTGCTTAGGATACTTAATCCCCTCTTCTCACTTCGTGATTTTGGACAAGATGGGATGCTTTGCCTTGGGTACTCTCTAGAGGAGTTTCACAACTGCCAGTTTTTTTATATCATAACTGTCTTAGAAACTTACCTCAAACTTTACTTTTTTAAAATTTCATTTTAAGATTTATTTAAATGGAAGGAGAGATGAGCTCTTTGGGGATTGCCTGCCTTCATGGCTCACACTGGGTGGTTTTATCTGGTCCCTGTATCCCTTTATCCGCAGTGCCCCTTCTTCTTCTTGTTCTGCTAACCCTCCTCCATTACCATTTTTTTTTCCTAATAGGAACAAGATCACCATGATTGCTGAGCCTCTTGAGAAGGGACTTGCTGAGGACATAGAGAATGAGGTGGTCCAGATCACATGGAACAGGTGAGAAGGTGACTCTGTTCTAGGGCTGAAGAGTGACAGTCATACTATCGCCTACCTGCCAGCGCTCTACTCCCACATGCCCTTCTGAGCAGTGTTTTGTGCTTTCTCACCACCACCGTTGCCCCTTCTCTATGTCCTTGGTAAAGGATGACTTGAACAAGGTATCTATCCTCCAGAACGGGAGGGGTCAAAACCACAGAGCTATCTAACACCTCTGGTTTTCCCTTCTTCCTCCAGGAAGAAACTGGGCGAGTTCTTCCAGACCAAGTACGATTGGGATCTGCTGGCTGCCCGTTCTATCTGGGCCTTTGGACCTGATGCCACTGGTCCCAACATCCTCGTGGATGATACCCTGCCCTCTGAGGTACAGCAGAATTGATGGCAACCATGTGGTGGGTCCTGACCTCAAGCTAACAGTGTTCGCTGTTTCTTAAAAATATTCTGTCTTCTGATGAAATCTGCTCCCAGTTTTTCTTCCCACTAAGCTCTTGGACTGTGGCCAGAGCTGTTAAGGAGCCTTCACATTTCTGTGCAGGTGGACAAGGCTCTTCTCGGCTCAGTGAAGGACAGCATCGTTCAGGGTTTTCAGTGGGGAACCAGGGAAGGACCCCTTTGTGATGAGCGTAAGTCTGCCAGCATCTCCGCCACCTCAGTTCCCTAGGTAGGGTGGGCTCACCTCCTCTTTAGGGCCTGACAGGAAGAAGCAGCCCAGGGCCACCCTGTATCCTGAGCCAGCTGCTTCTCTCCTCCCTCCCTTTCCTGGTACCACCATTCAGCACATCCTGGAAGTGAACTCAGTACTAGATTGCTCCTCATTCCTGAGAAGGATCCTTTTAGGTGTATCTAAGAAGCATCAAGAGGAGGATGGGATTAAAGTGGTTTGTAGATGGGAAGGAGCCCAGGTGGCTCAATAGTTAAGTGCTGACAAATAGTTAAACTAGCAGAAGGTTGGTGTTTGAACCCACCTGTGGCTCCTTGGAGAACATCTACTCCCTAAGGGTTCTAGGAAACCCTGTGGGGTGGCTATCTTTGAGGTTCACCATGAGTTTGAGTTGGGTTAACACCACAAAACATCACAGAACAGGGTTGGGCTTTGTGGGACCAAATGCACATTGTTAGAATGTGTTCTCTATCCAGAAATAATGAAAAGCTTGTAAACTGCTAGAAAATCTTTGATACCTGAGCTAAACCAGACACTACTGAATGTGTAGTTAACATCTGCTGTCTGCGGCAGGCCTGGCCCTGCCTGTCAGAACTCCTAGCTCTGGTGTGGTTTTTGTGCCATGTGTCTTAGAGCTTCCAGACAGCTGCGTGTAGCATGAGACCCCTTACTGCTTTGCTGTGCCCTCTTACCAGCCCCCAAACTGCTTCTCAGTCAGCCACCCCATCTCTTTCCCAGTGATTCGAAATGTCAAGTTTAAGATCTTGGATGCAGTGGTGGCCCAGGAGCCGCTGCACCGAGGCGGCGGCCAGATCATCCCCACGGCCAGGAGGGTTGTCTACTCGGCCTTCCTCATGGTGAGAGTGGGGACAGTGGAGCCCCTAGACTGTAGCCTCCAACCTTCCCTTTTCCCAGGTTCTCACTCCTCAGTTTCTCCCCAGCTCAGGAACCATTTCTTCTTGCTGTTTCAGGCCACACCTCGTCTGATGGAGCCTTACTACTTTGTCGAGGTCCAGGCCCCTGCAGACTGTGTCTCTGCTGTCTACACTGTATTGGCCAGGCGCAGGTGAGCATCCCTGCTTACATGAGGGAGAGTCCCACTAGCAAGAGTGAGCGAACAGGCTCGTGGATTGTCATAGAGAAAGAGATTGGCTGTCACTATCGTCCATTCCTGAAACTTAGCTTATTTCTCAGAAGGGGATACAGGAATAAGACAATCACCAGCTCTCCTGTGGACTAAACTTAGATTCGTTCCTGGGCCCACCTCCTCAGTGAGATTCCCAGAAAAATTTTGAGGCATGCCAGTGATGGGACTGTCCTTGAGCTCATGCTGCACATGCTCCATTTCTTATCTTCTGCCCAAAAGTTGCCACGCCTTTGACTTCCACAGGGGCTTACACTGAGCACCCACAACCTTGGATGTCCTCTGTAGAGCATCGTGGTGGTTCTGTTTTTGTTTTTTTTTAATACTCTGCTTTGAGGTCTGTCTTTGAGTGTGTTACTCGTCTTTGGCGACCAGGGACTCAGCCTTGGTCCGTTTCTCTCTCTCAGGGGGCACGTAACTCAGGATGCACCCATCCCAGGCTCTCCACTCTATACCATCAAAGCTTTCATCCCCGCCATCGACTCCTTTGGCTTTGAAACTGACTTGCGGACGCACACCCAGGGACAGGCCTTTTCCCTGTCTGTCTTCCACCACTGGCAGGTGAGAAAAGGCTCTCATGGCCTCCCACTGCTTCAGTGCTAATTGACCTCTGACCAATGCTCTTTAAAAGCTGTGGTTGTCAACACTCCCAACCTCCTAGCAGTGTCTTTATGCTAGGGCTAATCCCCAGAGCAGCCTGCCCAGACTGTAACCTTCTTGTCTTTCAGATTGTACCTGGCGATCCTCTGGACAAGAGCATTGTCATCCGCCCCCTGGAGCCACAGCCAGCTCCTCACCTGGCCCGGGAATTCATGATCAAAACCCGTCGAAGGAAGGTATGTGTCCCTAAGACCCATCACCACCCCTCAGTGGGAATCTCGACACAAGTTTGTATCTCTTCATTTCTTCCTTTTGAACCTTTTTGCCAAAGGGCCAATAGACTGAAAACAATGTCCTGCACTATGTAGTAATTGAACCTGTAGAATCCTCTGTGAGCAGACTGGGGCCTCCTCTAGCTGAGGAAAGCTGGATCGGCCTCCTGTGAGGCACCTTGAAAACCTTTCCTCACATAGTTGCCTGGACTCCATCTCCCTCTTCAGTCCCCCCCACCCCAGAGCCTTCTGCCCAGTCTCACTGCATGTGACTGATTCTCCATTTGCCTCCTTTTCTGCAGGGCCTTAGTGAAGATGTGAGCATCAGCAAGTTCTTCGATGATCCTATGTTGCTGGAGCTGGCCAAGCAGGATGTGGTACTCAATTACCCCATGTGAGCCGGAGCTTCTGGCGGCCCCTGTGCCCTGCAGTGGACTTGAAGCTGGGACCTGTGTGGCTTGCACTGGATGTTGTTTGAGCCTATCTGGGAGCTACTGTTGCTTTCCTTGATGCTCCAAGCACCCCCAGCCTGGAGACCCAGAGAGGAGGGAGCATTCGGCCTCCTGGTTCCTTCTGTGACCTGTGCCTGGCCACATTCCCAGGGAACAGAGAAGAGCTTCAGCTCAGGGAAGGAGAAGGGGTTAAAAGTGGTTAGCCTCAGGAGGCCCTGTCTTCAGGATTTACGTGGAATTTTATTTTTACAAGTTTGACCTTAGACATGGTTTTTAAGTGAACAGAACATTCCGACCTTTGCCTGACTCTGTTCCTTTCATCCCTCCGCCTTTTCTCGCCCCCTCCCTCCAGCCCAGTCTGGTCCTGGCATTTGGGTTCTACGTATACTTGGTCTCCCATGAAGCGTCCCTGTCTTAGCTCCCAGCTGCAGGCTCCTTCCTGCCTGGGTCCCCAGGGAAGCAGCCTGTGGTGGGAGTTCCGCCGCCTCTTTTAATTGTGTTCTGAGTGTGGAGGCTTCTCTGCCTCCAGCCCTGGTATCTTATCCCCTCTGTCCCTTGAATTGTCTGGATCCAGCACAAGGTTCCTTGACATGGCTTGACATGGAGTAGGAAGTCTGCTAGGGCTAACACTTCTTTATGGAACCAAACAGAAGAACTAATCCTGTTGTCATCAAGTCAATTCCAACTCCTAACAGCCCTATAGGACATAGTGAACTGCCCCATCGAGTTCCCCTGCTCTTATCTTTAGAGACGTGGATTCCCCCATCTTTCTCCCACAGGTCATGGTGAGTTCCGTTAACAGCTGAGTGCTCAACTACTGAGCCGCTGGGCTCCCTTCATGAGACCTGCCTCTTAACAATCTCCCTTGCCCTGGTGTTAGGAGTTAGAATTCTTGGGCTTTGAGACATTTGCTCCATGTCCTTCTACTAGCCCCCGCTTACCCCTGGGCCCCAATATATGAAGAGACTGTTGATTTTCTTCAAAACTACTTTATTAGGAGTGTCCGGGGATTGATTTAGGGGGATCTGACTGCCCCAGCCCCTGTGGAAGTTCTACTTTTCCCCGGGATCCTGTGCTCTTGCCTTGATGTAGTCCCTGTACATTGTGTACACGGCACCTGTGTGAGGGGGGGAAAGGCACTACTTGGCATCAAACTTTTCACCCTCTGTTTGCCCCCATGTGAAAGGATAACAGCTGCTGAGTGTCAAGTGCTGACTCGAGCCGATCCCCTGAGAGCCCAGCTTCCCCTCTCATCTTTATGCCCCAGGTCCCAACAGCTGCTCCAAGCACCTGACCACACAGTCTGGGGAAACATCTGGGACGACTCCCTGGGTTGCCATCTGACAGTTCACAAGGTGTTTTCCCGAATTCTCTGTGTGTGCGAGCCAGGTATAGTTGTCATGTTGAACATGGATGAACCAGGGTCACAGAGTGGGATTGGACCACTGGCACACCACTGGCAGATCACTAGTGTGCCTTCTGATCCAGAGAGGAATAGGAAGTCTGCATAAGTCCTGCAGTTTCTCTCACCTCTGGGATAGGCTGTCATGAAATGGACTGTTAGCCATCCTTACGGGCCTGGGGCAGGAGATTAATAGGAAGCCCTGGAAAGGTTGTCTTCGTGTGAGGTCTCCACCAAAAACTTAATAGGGCTCAAGCAGTGGGAACAAGGAATTAAATCACAGTCCCTGAATCCCAGCCAGGCGTCATCTGTTCTTTCTTGTCCTCATTCTCTGGCCATCCTACCCCCTGCCAAGCTACTCACCCAGCATGATTGCACCCACGGCACATGCTTGAGCTGCCACGCGGGTGTGAATCAGATGTATGGACATCTTAGTAGGACCACGAGCCTTCAGCCGGTATATCCTATACGCCACCACCACCAGGCAGGCTCCCAAGCCTATAGACAGAGAACACTTGGCACCTATAAACAGTTGCTTTAGAGCATCCGAGGGTAGGGTGGGAGGGAATCACCGGAATATTGAGTCTTTTCCCCTCAATGGCATTTCCAGGGTGGCTGCTGCTTCCCACTGACGCCCTCCCACGTACAAGTGGCCAGTCCTCATAGCTCCCCACCCCCTCTAGCTCTGCTCCCAGCTCTTCTCCAACCACAACTGGCTCCCACATCTCTCCTGGCCCAGCTGTTTTCCTTCTCTCCCAGGGCCTTGAATAGCCCTGGGGGACTTCAAACTGCTGCTCCTCTGACCCTTCCCATCCCATACCACCACACTTCTCAGATCACACGCACTAGCTTGCTTCGTTGGCTGCCGTCTCCATCCATGCAGACTCATCCTCATTTAGTTGTAAGGATGTCCCTTGGCACATTCTTTATCTTTGGTTCAGTCCTAGCTATTGATGCCTCGCGTAGGACTGACTGGGTTTACTGGCCTTGCTTCCTTCTTGTTTGGAAGGACTAGGAGATACTCTCCCTGAGAGAAGCCCCTCACCCTGCAGCCTTCCTTTCCCCACTCACCTATAGGTACCAGCGGAGACTCCCTGGACTTCCTCAGAAATTTCTTAGATACGCTGTCTTCACCCTCAGGTGGCATCCACCAACCTTTGTTGGCAGACATGATCCTGGCCCCCTGATGTTAGGGTTTCAGCCCAGTCCTAGAAGGAGGCGCCCCAATTCTCCTCAGCCTGGTGTGAGACCTTTCACCATGCCCATCAGTGTCTAGTTGAAAGATGTCCCTGTCTCAGCTGGCAGGGCTACTAGCACCGTTTGGCCATCTCCTCTCTAACATCTGCCTCTTCAGCTAGTTACGACTTCACTGTTTTCTCTGCTTCCCCATCCCCATCCTTCTGGTGTGATCCCTGGGCCAAGAAAAACAGTTGGGAACATCCTCTGATGAGCATGTAGGAACAAGCCTTGAACTTTGGGGCTCTCACTGGCCTTGAGACTGGTCTGTGTGCTTGTTCCTGAGGGAACTGTGGAGCAGGATCTCTAACCTCAAGGAGCCAGAGCCATCCTAAGCAGAGCCTGAAAAGACTGAAAAAATGATTGGACATTGATTTGCATATACTTTAGCATAGGTTTTGCACATTAATACCTGCATTCTGGTTCTGAGCTGCTAGCCTGTTCCTAGGTCCTTCACAATTATCACCCCTTCACTTTTGGGCTGATGAACCATAAATACCTGCTCCAATCACAAATTAGATGATGTCCCAGAGAGTCCTGATCCCCGACCAAAGGTTCTGCCTCGGGAGTGCCTTCTCCAACTACCCACCTAAGTCAGTCTCTAGTCCTACTTGCCCACCTTTCTCCTGGGACGTCAAGGACTGCCGGCCTTTCGGTCTTACCCGGGAGAGGATTGTAGACGGAGTGTAGGCTGCTGGGCTAGTGCTCAGCATCTGCTGTATTGAACCAGCCCAACATTGAGGATGAAGCCGCCACTATGGGGTCAGGGAAATGGTGACCTAGCCTTTATGGAGCCTTTGAAGTTAGGGAGGGGAGGGAACAGGACAGGGCACCAGTCTTAACCCCCCATCTGCTGAGTTCCAGACTAGAACTGGCAAGTGATGAGAGGACAGATGGAGGGGGGACTGAGCTAGGCTCAATCATCCAGTCCCCGTTGGACAGTAATGGCTAAGCCAGAGACTGGTTTGATGAGGTGACAATGTAGAGAAGAGGATGGCAGGGATCCTGTGAGCGGCTGAACAAAGTCAAATGTAAAATACTCCAGTTGTAGGAGATAAGCTCTCTGGGCCTGAGCTCAGTGCTTTCAAGGGTGCTTGCTGCACCAAGGAGATTGGTTCGAGAGTTTGAGGTGACTGGGAATCCCCTCCCTTCTTGGCGCTTTATGTTGCCTACAGGGAATTCTGCTCACTCAGCTTATAGGGATGATGGTGGCCAGCATTAATCCTGTTTCAGACCAGCTGCTTAATATTTCAGATCCCTCATCTGCCTAAAAGGCAATAGTTTCTTGATAGACAAGGGAACTGAATGACCTCTGCCAGGAACCCAGCTAGTCGATGGCAAGGTCATGCATGATCTGAACCCGAGTCAGACCGGCTTGAGTCTGCGCTAATCCAGGACTCTGACCAAATGGAAACCTTCTCTGGATTCAGACTGATGTTTTGTTGTGGTTATGTGCCATCAAGTTAGAACTAACTCATAGCTGATACTCCAGTGGGTTTTCAGAGACTGTAAAGAGCATGAGATAGCATAACTTCTTACCACTAGGCCACCAGAGCTCCCTAATCGATGGTGGCACCATTAATAGAAGAGCTAAGATTATCTACTTGTTAAGCAAAGAAGTGTGCTCTCGTGCCTTAATAGTAAAGATTTACACTGCTAACCCAAAGGCATTCGGTTCGAATCCACCAACTGAACATTGGAGAAAGATGGGCAGTGTCTTCCCCTGTGATTTACTGCTTATTAAAACCTGCTGGAGGGCCAGTTGTGGGTCTGTTCTGACTTAATAATAGGTAACAACAAGCAAACAGAAACACAAAGATGTGCTATGGAAGTCTTGTTCCATCTCAAGCCTTCATTCCTTCCTTAGCTTGTCCTCTGCCCTGTATGTCTGTCTTGACGAGGCTTTTCTGTTTTGGAAACTTATGTAGCAGCTGAGGTCTCTTTTTTTCTCTCCCCAACACTCACTCAGTGCTCTAGGACAAGACCCAGAGTCACAGCTGCTCCCTGGGGCCACCACATGTCCCAGTGTCCGTGGGAACTCTCCTCCTAGTCATTCACACACACCCTCCTGCATTGCACCGCCTCTTTTGGTCCGTGGTGGTCCAGCGAGGCCAGAGGTAGTAACTGGTGGTTATTAAATGCCAACAAATCCAAACCAATTCATAGTGACCCTGTGTGACCATAGAACGGTTCTCTAGGCTTTCATCTTTTTTTTTTATTATTAAATTTTATTAGTTTTAATGAACATTTACAGAGATTTTGGGTTTTCATTCATTCATTGTTGCACTGTTTTCTCCACCCTCCTCCCCAGTTCGTTCTTCTTTCCCCCCCATGTCTGTTTTAATTGTCCAGTTGCCACAGTGCTTGTCAAAGCCAGTTCTGATTAATCTCCTTTGTCAGTGTGTCCCTTGCCATTCCCTATCACTCCTCCCTGAGAGAGACTTCACCCTGATTCATAAGGAAAAGGGGATGGCGTATTCTCTTAGCTACTTCCTGCTGAAAAGGGACGCTGTGGGTTTCAGGGTGAAGGTCTTCTCTCACTACTCTAAAGGGCCCCCTTGGCAGTAGGAAACACATAGACTATTATGGAGATTGATTTTGGAATTTAGATGCACTGTTATCAGTTGTGCTTAGCCGTACATGTTCATATCCTTGAAGATGTATCATGGAAGTGTTGCAGCCTAGAAGATACAAATGTAACTAACAAGTTAAAAGTGCATGAGTCAAAAATTGAAAAGCAATAATATTCTGAGTGGAGGTTCTAATAGTGGCACAAATCAAGTTACAGAGGTAAGGTGCTTCCATTGCCATCCTTACTCTAACTTAATTCTTTTTTATTAATTTAAATTTGTTATTAATTTCAGTGAAAATTTACAGAGGCTTTGGATTTCCATTCATTCATTGTTGTAAATTTGTCCCCTCCCAAGGCTCCCCCCCCCCACCAGACATTACCCTCTTGGAAAAGTAAAAGAAAAGATTCTTTCATTATTTTACAAACCCTCCCCCAGGTCCACTCCACCATGGAGCCATCGCTCTAGACTCCTGTGATGACAGAAATACCTAATCACATATCTCTTTTAAACAGTCTTCTCCCTTCTCTGTTTTAGAGTAGCATACATTATTGAACCCATCTTACTCAGTCTCTCCCCAACCCCAAGGACAGTCCCATTCTACAACAGTGGCACCATGCAATATTTGTCCCTTTGTGACTGGGACATTTCACTCAGCATAATGTTCTCCAGAGTCAGCCATTTTGAGTAATATTGCATGAGTTCCTTGTTTTTAATGCAGCATAGTATTCCATTGTGTGAATATACCACAGCTTCTCTAGCCATTCGTTTGTTGATGGGCTAGGCTTTCATCTTTATGGAAATAAATTACTAGTGTGTTTTCCCCATGGAAGCACTTGATAGGTTCATATTGTCAACCTTATGGTTAGCAGTTGAGGCTTAAGTGTTTGCTTCAAGGCTTCTAGGTGTGGGGTAGGGGTTTGGAAGTGTCTAGGTGAGAACACAGAATCAACTCCAAATTAGCCTTTGCAGGGTTAGGGGTGAGGCTACGGAGAGTGAAATTCAACTTTTTGCTGAAATTGCATTGATTGATACTCTCTCAGCATCTCAGCCCAGAGCTGTTATGATAATTAGTGTAGTAGTCAGATCTCTTGTTCATAGGGTCACTATGAGTCAGAGGCGATGACAAAATGTGATTTATTTAGCACTTTCTGTGGGCCAAAAAAGTGTGCTGATTGTTTTATTATTTAATCCCCACACTAACCCTGTGGAGTATGTACTGTTGTTATAATTCCCAAGGAAAATGAAGGTCAGGTTAAATACCTTGCCCAAGTTGGCCGTATAAGGACCAGACTTTCTACCATTCTCAAAATAAAATCTCATTGCTCTGGACTAACTTGGGAGTGCTTTAAGTGAAGAGAAGAATCTTGAAATAGAAGAAATAAAATTGCTGCTTAGGAAACCTATTTTTAAAGAAAACCACATTAATAGAATTTCTAATCTTAAAAAAAATGATCATTTGTTGTTGATAGGTGCCGTTGGGCAGCCTATGACTAATAGTGACCCTAAGAACATCAGGTCTGAACCTGGTGCTGTCCCGCTATCGTGTGCCATCCTCACAGTCTCTATCATACTAATGCCCACTGCGTAGATCCATCTCCAGGGTCTTCCTCTCTTTCACAGATGCTCTACCTTTCCTAGCATGACACATTTTTCTGAGGACTGGCTCCTGGCAACATACACAAAGTATGTGAGGTGAAGTTTCCCAATCCTTCCTTGCCTCTAAGGAGCACTCTGATTGCTTTTCCTCCAAGACAGATTTGTTTGTTCCTTTGGCAGTCCATGGTATGTTGTAATTGTGTCATCGAACCGCCTGTGACTCATAGCGACCCTATGTACAACAGCCCTAAACCCTGCTCTATCCCTTGCCAATCGTAATGTCTCTACGACACCTATCCCCATTATCCCAGTGACTGAATCAATCCATCTCATCGAGGGTCTTCCTCTCCTGCGCTGTCCCTCAACCCTCCCAAGCATGTCATCCCTCTCCAAGGACTGATCCCTCCTTGCAACATGTCCAAAGTGTGTCAGTCAAAGCTTCAGAATCCTTGCTTCCAAGGAGCAGCCTGGCTTCACCCTCCCTAGGATCAACCTATTTGTTCTCCTAGCAGTCCATGGTATGTGCAATACTCTTCTCCAGCACCACAGCTCATAGGCATCAACTCTCCTATCTTCCCTAGTCAATGTCCAGCTCTCTGATACATAGTAAGTAATTGTGAAGACTATGGCCTGTATCAGGTGCACCTTAGTCTCCAGACTGACATTGTTGGTCTTCAGTACTTTGGAGAGGTCTCTGATAGCAGACTTTCCCAATTCAATTTGTCTTTTAATTTCCTGACTGCTGGTACCAAGAGTATTGATTGTA